GTTCAGCTGTATTGAATTTTATTAAATGTTTTTAGTGTTTCTCGTTTATCCTTATAAGGCACTGTCTCTTAGGTAGGCATCAGCCTACAAAAATATGAATGTTTATGGAACCTATTTATGGAATCAGCTAAAGAGAAGATTGCTCCTGGGAGAAATGCAAAATTAAAGATTCCTAATGATTAATCAAGAAAGGGAATTAAAAGCTCTTAATTCTCCAGTGAATAAGAAAAATTCCCAAAAATATTTCAAACCCTTTCTTAATCACACAGCCACAAGGAAAATAGTAAAGCTTAAGAGAAAACAGAGGAAAAAAAACCTAATCCACTTGAAAACACTGCTGAGCTATCATGCAGGTTTTCAATTCAGTCCATCACATGAAATAACTCATTACAGTTCATTTTCTGTGATGTACAAATGCCAAAATCAATAAACATTTTTCCACATTTTGAAATTAGTCACTGATGTTACACAGTAACCAACCGTATTTCTTGAAAAGTTTAGAATGATTTACAGTCTAGCAGTACTTGAAAACCTAAAAGATTTCCATAGGCTTTAATTTAAATAAATATTTACAAGAAAAAGCAGAGCTGTCTGTGCCTAAGTACCGTAGTTTAGCAACCTATTATCAGTAAATATTCATGTCACAGTTGGCAAAAACAAAAAAGGAAGCATTTTCTAATGCAAATAGTTTAGCTGTTAAGCAAACCACAGATTAATGTAATGCAACCAAACTAAAGCTTGATTTACCTCTTTTGAAAGGACTACAGTACGACAAGCCCTCCTGCAGACCAAACATTCATCTTTTTTGCCTGTAAGGTAAAGACACATTTAAAATATAAATCAAACTGAATATATATTGAATACATTGTAAATATAATGTGATGCCTAAACCTCTGGAGCTTGTGGAAGAAATCTGCAGGTTACACAAGAAATATGAATAAACATGAATAAAGAATTTGATGCCATAACCATTACCCTGAGTTGTGCAGGTAAAATGTATGTGAATGTCATCAGGTCTTACTGCTGTAAATAAGCATTCATGTAAATGATTTTATGAATATCATTAGTGTCACAGAGTGCAGGTGACTTTTAGTTCCCTTGATTTAAATGGGACTACTTGCCTGGTTTAATTAGATGTATGCTTAAATGCACTAATGACTTGCAGCCAATCTGATATATGGCTTTTTAGACTGGGGCACAATCGCGTTGTCCCAACAAAATATATGAAACTCAAATGTCAAGGAATTAATAATTTTACCTTTTGAATTCCTCCAGGAGAAAACAATAAAACCGTTTTTAAAAACTTTATGACTTTAAAACTCTTTATCTACAAACATATTAAAAATATCTATAGCAACTGCACATTATTTCAATATTTATAACTGACAATTCTACTAGCTACTGCCATTCTGAAGATTCTAAGGATCAGTGTCTATAAACATTTTTAAACACATTTTAAACCTCATTACTACTGAATTCACCACAAAAAGATAGATAATCTCACATGTTTTTCTGCCAAACAATATTAAGAGCCAAAAGGAAAGATGTTGTTCATGTTCTAGGGGCCTGCAAGCTGCAGAGGCTGCATTTTGTGATCCTCTACCCTCAATAGCAGCCCTGTGAAAACATCTAGTCAAAAGTTTTTAGATCTGAAATCCAGATTGATCATTTCTTCTGTGTGCCCTTACAGAAACCAGGACATTTAGCATGATGTGAAATATTGATATTTGAATATTTGTTCACTGCATTTTTTTTTCCTTTTGTAAAACAACTCCATTATTCCTCTGCCTTTCCCACATATCTTTGTCCAAGAGCATCACATGAGAGCCAGAATATGACTCTGGAACTGTACATAACACAAGAACTTCAAACATCACCTCCAATCTTAACTCATGCTGCTGAAAGTCTTCAGGAGCAATACTGAGCCTCAAAACCTATTAAAACTACTTCCAAAACCTACCCTAAATCCTCCATTTTTTCAATTGCTCTTTCACTAAGGAAAAATCATTATCTTCCCCAAATTTGTCAGAACAGAATGCCATCTATTTGTGGTGGGGGGTTTTTTTCGTGTTTTTTTGGTGGGGATTTTTTGTTTGTTTGGTTGTGGTTTTTTTTTGTTTTGGTTTTTTGGTTGTTGTTCGGGTTTTTTTTGGGTTTTTTTTTTGTTGTTGTTGGTTTTTACAAAATTATGGATCATAAGCATCCAGAATCCAGTTTTATGAAAGCCTCCACTGCGTGTGCCCAAGGCTTGCTCTCAAACCCACATCCACCCGGAGGTGGACACACGCAAGTACTGTTCAAAGCGTATCAACAGCAAGGACTGGAAAGCCTGATCAGTAACATTCGAAGAAGTGCTCAAGGCTTTGATTTTTTTCCACAGCGGGTGAGAAACACCAACGTCTGAGGTGAATGCGTGCACGCAGCACAGCCATTACCTTTCTTCAGGCAAACATCGCAGAAAACGTGGCCGCAGCTGGTGAGGTAGAACCGCGGCGCGGGGGTGCGGGGCTCGCTCAGGCAGGAGTTGCAGAAGACGAGCACGGCCATGGCGCAGCGGGGCAGGACGGCCCGGCGGCGGCCCGGGGCTGGGGCACAGCCGCTCGTCCTCAGGCCGAGCCCCGCGGGTACGTCCCCGCCATGTCCCGCCCGCTGCGGCGGCCCTGAGGGTAGCGAGGCCCGCGGCCCTCCCGCCGCGGGGCCTCAAGGCGGCAGAGCTTGGTCTTCACACACGCCCCAATAAAATTTGTTTTTTTGTGGCCTCTCACTACCCAAGTGGAGCGGTGCCGACGCAGACGGTGCTCTGAGAGATTGGCCCTCCCGGCCTCGAACGTGGGAAACGCTACGACACGCACAGGCCTTCAGGCAGGGCCTTCAGCAGCAGCCCCGCCCTGCTCGCTCCTCCCGGGTCGGCAGATTAAAAAAAAAAAAAAAATCCCAGAGAAAATAATTGTGAATTTCACTCTTTTAAATGCAAGAATCCAGGAAGTTTGTTAATTCGCTATCACAGGTTTGCTATGGCATTTTCTGTTGTGGAAAAAAAAGCAAAGCAAGGAGATTTGATGTTCATTGCTTAGACAAAAAAAAAAAAAAAACAAAAAAACACAAAAAAAAGACCCCATCACTTGCTAGTACCCCGTGATGAAAATTTTAGGCAGAAAGTCCCTTACAGACTTAGTTGCAGTGCAGGCTGTAGCTCTGGGTATGACAGAGCCACACACTGCAGAGGAAGCTTTTAACTTCACAAAGACTTCTGCCCCCAAAGTGCTTCCCAAAAGAGCTGTGAGTCAGCTTCTGCTTTATGGAATTAATTAAAAATCTTTAAGAAGACTGAAAACATTTCCTAAAAGCAAAGATGATTATGTTGATATGATGATGATGATGATTAATAATAATAGTACCATTAGTAGTAGTAAAGAATTAAGCAATCACAAGTTACATTCAAGACGCCCAAGTCTCAGTGCTGAGTCTGTACTCTTTGAGTATAGACCTAATTAATATGGTGAAACATGATCAGCTCTTTGATGAATTCTGAAATGTTGCTTGTCCTGGATTACCAGCTGGAGTGTATTGTAAGTGAAATGAGTTATGTTATTGGGATGTGATTAGGAGCCTTACACTAAATATCAGCTAAAGTCTGAACCACAACCTTGTCACAGCACTTTATTACTTTCTTCTTGGACTTCATATACCATATGGTTTTAACACATATTTCCTTCTTACCCACCACCAGCGATGTTATTACAAGGCATGTTGTGAGTGCTCTACAGAAGTTAATTTAATAACACTTACTGGTCATTCCAAGTGGCACTCTGAAGTATCCAAATTTTTAAATATAGGACACAGTGCAGTGAGTAGCTTTATGAGATTTTATTTGGATTGATTTTGTCCCTGGAACATTGCTTTTTGTCTCTACTTTTTATCAATTTTATTGATTCTCACGTACTACCAGCTGTCTTTTAATTCCCATGCTGGAAATATAAGTAGACTTAAAGGAAAATGTCATTTCCTTGCTAAAGAAAACAACAGGTGGGAAGATAGAAAAAAGAAAGAAAGCAGGGGCTTTAGAACAATAATTGGTCTACAGATATTTCACCTTTCACTACCTTTTAAACCCGCAAAGTGTCTGAAAAGATCTGTAGGAAAACAAACCACAATATTCTGCTGTCACAGTGCTCTAGAAACTTCAACTTCCATGTCTTTGTATGTAATCACCTCTAACTCCTTCCTTCTACTACTGCTGCTTTGTCAAGCTGATTACCTGGATTTTTAACCACAGCCTTTGTCTTGTAGGATACTGTAGTTACACTGCTATTTGTACACAAATTAGGTAAATTAGGGCATAAAGATATATGCAACCAAGCTGCAATAAGTAAAATGGAAAATTAAGTAAAAAACAGGTAGTTTCTGTAGGCAGTCATATTAAAGTTGCTAAATAATTAAAATCATGAAAAAACACAGAAACATTTAGTGCAGGAATGAATTAAAATAAAATTGGCATTGTTTACCAAGAAACCCAATAATTTCAGTTACTTTGTTATACTTCATAAAGACTATCATTTACTTAACTGTGGGAGGCACCAGATCATCATCACTTCTATAGCCTAATGTTAAGGGCTTTTCTGGAAGAAAAAGTAAGTTTAATTCCAAATTGCTTGTCTGGGTCTTTGTCTTCTATGATAATTGCTGCCACCACTGATCAGTTCAAACTCTGAATATTTTACAAGAAAGCATTCACAATTATATTTAGGTGTTACACGTATATAGATTGAGTTCAAGACACTCGCACCCAATTAAACACTGCAGGGGATGTAATTATTTCTCTGTTTACTATCTGAATTCTAGTCAGTCTGAAGTGCTGAACTGTTCATGGTAGTGCCAAAAAAGATTACTCAGCAAGCAGAGTAATTTAAAATCTTAGGAAACTTTATTTTAGATTTTTATTTTAGATTTAACCTAAAATAAACATTCTTCATTAAGTACTGAAATTAAATGCTGCCTTTGTCACTGACTTCTTCTATATTTAGCTTTATATCTATAGATGGGGGGAAATAGTAAAAAGATGGGATTCAAGGAGCAAAACGTGAGGGATGGCAGAGGTTGTGACCTAGCTGGAGACACCAGTTAGAACAGAAGATGAGATAAAGCTGAGAGCTCCATACAAGCAATTTTCTCATAGGTGCAGGGTTTCTTTGGATGTTCAGTGTCACATGGTGTGCAATTTTTGAATCTGTGCATTGACTTTATAGAACTTAAACAAGCTTCTTAGATATAAAGAAATCTCTGAGAGATTTGATTTGCCAGATTCCAACAGAGATGAGGATTAGTGTTTGTACTATAGCCCACCACAAAATATTGCTGTTGGTTTCTTCGCTTGTTTTCCGAAATTTTTCTTCACGCTCCTAGAGAATAAAGGAAAAGCATCATTATTACCTTTTGGCATCTGTATGTTTCGTGGTAACTAGAAAGGCATCCCTCTTCTGCATAGTGGTGAACAAAAGCATTTTTCCATGTGGATAAAAATGAAGGTTTGTACTTATCTGTATGGTAGATATCTTCACAAATCAAAACTGAGAAGCAGGCACACTGCATCCTGAAGCAGGAAGGCAGAGCTTCCCTTGCTGACAGATATATTGTGCCAAACATATTCAATCAGTACAGATTTTAACCTGTTTAGGTTTATATAATTTGCTGTCAAGAGCCCTTTTGCTTCCAAATTTCTGGTTTTGAGTTACTAACACTTCAAACACTGTCTATCTGCGTGCATATAGAAAAGTGACGGGGTGTACACTTGTTTGAAGAAGGGATATATAAATATACATTCATGGGGATATATAAATATACATTCAGTCATTTCCTTCCCCACTCAATGGAGTTTGTGCACACAGGGCAGCATGGAAACAACAGCATCACCTACAATGGCACCTGCTACCTGCTGGGCTGCTGTGGCTGAGTCTGACCAAGAAAACTCTGCTTGGAAAATCCTGCTTTAAGATAACACCTGTTGCTACAAGCCCGAGCCCACAGTGATTAATTAGTTTTATGTAACCACTTAAAAATATTTTGCAAGGTAATGGAGACTATTTTGGTTAAATATCTATACATTTTTATGAGTTAGTTAAAAACACCCCTGAAATTGGATAATAAACCTCATAATACTTTATAAATCAATAAGCTTATGTACAATATTTTTAGCATTTACATTAGGGGACATACATACTCTTTCATAGTCTTGTTCTCTGGTTACGTGGTGAATTTGCTCCACTAGATGCTCTAGCCTGATACTAACTTCATTTACTTTGTCCTTAGCTTGAATAGCAGATTCATCCAAAAAATGCTCTCCAACTCTGATGTCCAAGTGGATACGCTGCAAAAAGAAAAAAAATGTTCTCATTACTGTGTCTTCTGCTTTTTCAAATATCTTAGAATAAAAATGAAACTATTGATAATTTCCCTTTAAGAGCATTGCAGGAAAATAGTCTTAATTGCTTGTAAAAATCCCTCCTAAAATTAAAATAAGCTGGAAAATTTGAAAGGTTTCTTAATTTTATTTTTAAATTAGTTATACAAATTTACGATCTTCACTAATGTTAGGGCATTATTTTATGCTGGTATTGATTCAACTGCCATTAAAATGTTGCCTTTGTCCAAAATAGTTTAAAAAAAAAAAAAAAAGACTGCTCATTATAATTCACATTTCATCCTGATATTGCAGAAATAACTATCTTTAACAGTACTGTTGGAGGTTTTTTACAAATACTCTTCTAGATTCCCTCACATAACTGTTTTCTTCACATTATTTATCCAAGTTGGATATTGGGATATCTCCCAATATCCTCCAGGCTATTGTATGATCTATAGCAAAAATGCCTCAAGCCAGCCAAGCAATACAACCATAGAAAGAAGAGAGAAGACTGGAACTTGCAATGTTATGCAACTTATTTTGGCATGCATGAAAAATTCTACTAAAACTAGTAGGAGAAACTTCTCCTAGAAGCCAATTAGTACCTAAGAGAAAGCAAAAAGGTTTTAGCCAAACAAATAAACTTCAAAACCCTAGAAATTGATATTACCATAATAGAAGCTAGGTCTGCTCAGAGATCAGCCACAAATGAAGTGTATTTTCTTGCAGTTGTCTTGAAGTTACCTAACTGTATGGGTAGAAATCCATCTCACAACCTTGTGGTCCATTCATTTATTTGTTTTTGTTTGAAAGAGTTCAGATAACGATATGGTTCTTACAAAGAACAGTTAAAGATTTACCTTCACTAAAGAGTGTTTTTCCTTTTTTGGTCTTTATTCCTCCAGATATAATTTAAAAGGACAATATTTTCCTTTTTTATTTCTGTGTTCTCAAACAAACAACATTATTTAGTATTTGGGATTTTTATGTACTCCTTCCCTGCATCTCTTGGCTTCTTTTATATAGGATGGTCAGAACTCAACATGGTGCATGTATCATGTAAAATAATATTAATATATGCCCATCTATACCAGATAAAAATCACCTGCACGTCCTCAGAATCACATTCATGGTGCATAGTTAACTGTGACCAACCAAAGCTTTATCCCCCTTTCTCTCCCTAGTTTATAAGCTCCACAATTTTTTTTAAATGATTAGAGCTAATTGCTTTTGCAATGTATATGATTAAATTTCCATTAATTTCTGTCAATTAGCATGTAAGAACACTTTGTTATTCCAGTATAATAATCCTACTCCAGTATTGTTATTTCTGTGTTATCTACATGTTTCTGAAGTGCACAGTTAGGATGAGATTTAGCTTGCCTTAACTCATTTAGAAATGTTTATATTTTGCTGGTTATTTAACTGTTTTGCCATCAGCTAAGAAGAAAAAAATCCCAAACCACTTTAGGAAGTAATTCTCTCCTGTTTTTTGGAAGCAGCAAATAGATAAAATTTCAAAACAGTATTTATAAATTTTTTGCTGCAATCATCAGTAGAGCCATGATATCACCTCTGATGGCTTTTTTTTTAAAGCTCCATTAAAACTAACTTTTCTGGTAGTAGACAATAACAAGTATGCTGACATATTCTTCATTTAAATATCTTTCAAAAACTAAATTGTTGCATTTTCATTGGCAACCCAATCTAAGTTAGTGAATGCATGGAATATCTTTATGTCAAATGCTTGCGTTAGTCAATCTTACATATTTGTCTTTTTGATCCAAAATAGTTGTTCTTATTGATCAGAATCTTTCACATTCAAAGCACAATACAAACATTAAATCTCTCTATCATTAGTCCTGCCTCTTGAATGCTGACTTTTTAAATATGAGAATAGTATTTTTATCTTTTTTTTTCTACGTAATTCTATGTTTGTGTTCTTTAATTGCTAAAAAACACTGAATTATCTGCTAAAAGTTAGACCAACTTCTAATCCAGTTTGAAATCTCTGCTGTTGGTAATGATTTATATTGTTACAACAAAGACTATTTAGGAAATACACCTACCAGTTTACTTCCTGCAATCACTGCAAATCTTGTGGAGTTAGACTGGAAACAGATGATATGCTCCCCAGAGATGTAGGATGTAAAAGTAAAAGTCCCTTGTGGCCCATACAGTTTTGACAACAGTATCTGCAATTTAGATATATGCATTGGGTTTATAATTTATAACTACCAATAAAAAAAAATCAAAAAGCAATACTGTGAATTGGATGCAAAAAGGAATCAGTTAAGCTGCTGACATCATTAAATTTATCCAAATTTCAGAACACATTTAGAGAAAACAAAGCAATCTTAGCTCAAAGTGAACATGAAAACATTACAGAATTTTGCAATGTACAAAAGCCAATGCTTTCTAAAGCATTCGAAGTCTGAAAACTGACACCTTGCCTGGGCAGGGAAATAAGTTGTCCATTGCTGGAAAAGCTCTGACCTCAGGCAGCTGCTCTGCATGAGGGCTATGAGCAGCCTCCTGGTGACCTTGACTTTGGGTTTTGTTTATCATCAGCACTGCTGCCCAAGAAGATTCTGTACCATTTTACTTCATTAGTGAATTTTGGGGTTTTATTTTTCATTTAACTTATTTTCTCAGTTGTCACTAATTCTTCTTATTGATACTGTTTCCCAAATCTGGTAGTAATGCAAAAATTGTCCATACACATAATTATCAAATATAATAATTTCTTTTTACTTTTATCTTTCAGCATCTAAATGCTGAACTAGTGTGTAGACTGTAGATTTACTTCTTCCTCAGAAGTATCTTTTATTTCTGGATAGTGCTGCCTGCCAGTGTCAGAAGTCAAGTCATAAGTCATAGAGAAACATTCATAAAGCATTTTTACCTCACCAGTAGGTATTGTGACAGTCACAAACATTCCCAAACCAGGAGCAGATTCAAGAAAGTCATGTGTATGTATATCCCAGCGTTGTACTTTGTAATTCCCTGAATAAAACCAGAGATAAATTTGTTAAAGCACAGCTTAATGTTAAACATCTTTGATGATTTTTCAGGAAAAATAGAAATATGTATATATTTAATGTGTTTATGATGAATATTTTTCATGGGTACTTCATAACAGAGTAAAATGCAATAAAGTTTTACTACATTAGAAGGTGTTCTAAAGTACTACAAAAAAGGGTTAATTAACAAGAAAAACTTTTTAATTACTCCTAATGCTTTGGGAAGATTAGCCTCTAGAAGGCACACTGAGACCTCCAAAAGCATAATGTGCTGTACTCAAATTACATTTTAGTCATTGTCTTTCACACTTATCATATTATTTTTAAAAAAAGATTAATTTGTATTATTTTTTACTATCCCCTTGAAATCTTACATTTACAGTCTTGTAGATTAATTTAATGTGCTTCTCTTATCAGAGGAGAAATGAAACTTTAGTACATCGTGAATGGTCTCTTTTCAGACCAGCACTTATCAAAATAAACTCTGGGGAAAACAGTGTTACAGAAATTCTGATGTGAATGAGTACATCAGTCAGAACGTGCAGAAGCACACATGGAAGCAGCAGTTCCACAGTGTAGAATTAAAAAACATTCTTTTTCTCTCCTTACTCAGTAAAGCACTCTGAAAACCTGCATTTCTCAATGTCTGAGGACTTTAAACCTAATCCTTGCTGCAGGGAGTTATTTTCAGAGTGCCCTTTTCTGTTTTTTTACCATGTACATCAATCACAGAAATTGCCATTACATTCCAGTTATTTTTGTTATTGCATGGATTAGATCATCATAAAGCATTGACAGGTACCTACCAACTACCAAGGTGTCACTGGGAATATCTTCAATTATGCATTTCTCTTCTCTTTCTCCCGCGTGAAAATACAAAGCGAATGAAAAAGAAATCCAAAAGTTCATAAGGAATCCTATTAATTTGCTTTTCATGGTTTTTATATATCCCTGCTGTAGTGCTTTTGAAGATAGTTACATACAAATGCCTGTAGTCCTGTGGTTGTTCCTTGTTTGCTGCTTATCAGAGTATTTTTGAGAGAAAAAAAAAAAAAAAAACCTGTGAGAAAAGGCAGCTGGTGGTTACACATTTATAAATAACTACAGCATGTTCTGGAGAATGAGATAACACAGAAAAGACACCTTTTAAATACTTTCTTCTTTCCCAGAATCTAGATTAAAATTTATTTTATACACTTAGAAGAGCATGAAACTGAAAGGGACTCTCAGGTGCTTGAGATCAGTTCCCTAGATTACTGTAGGCAGTTACATTGGCTACCACTTTCCATAAACTGCTCAATTTTCAACTTAAATGAAGTTATTATTTCCCTTTAATTCTGGGTGATTATTCCAGAGCTTCACCTCTCCTTTATTAAGCAAACTTTTCATTTCCATCCTAAATCATTGTACATTGTAAATGTAGGCACCTGATTAAAACCCACAGGCTCTACATAAAAAACCTATAAAGAAGTCAAAAGAACTTGAATAATCAAATAATCCATTAAATAATCAAACAACATTAGTGAATGTGATATTGCAGGGAAAAATAACAACATGAACACTTTCAGAATAAGATTTTTTATATAGGAATGACTTAGATATTTCCTAATACATTCTGTGAAGAAAGTTATAGTACAAATCAATGATTGAGGTTCTTATTTTCATTCTTTGTACTCATATAGACCAATAGGTATGTTTGATGACAAACTCATTTGTCACTCAAATGCTCCTTGTCCTATAAATGGAGATCACTCTGCCTGAAAGGTGGGCCTGAATGGTCATTTTCCAGCAGGGAGGACCCACCTGTGGGATCATTTCCAGTTGGGAGGATCCATCTTTCCACAAAAAAAATGTATGTTACCCCAATTGCACAAGAGCACATATTTTTCTTGTGTCAAGGAAGAAGGGTGCACAGCCCTTCATCTTCAATATCTGTAACCTTAATTAAATTTTGGGGATGATAACTCCTATTGGATTATTTCACATCTGCAAAAGGAGGACTGATTTGTGTTTGTTGCCCTTCACTGCACCTGCCATCTATGGAGTTGTCTCAATAAAGGAATGTCTGTGTAACACTACACAGTTCACTTAGTTCACTCCATTTCATAGCATGAAATATCTTCATGGAAGTTGTAGCACAAGTATTAGTTCACCTCCAAAAATCACCCATCAGCATCCCCATATTGAAAGGCAGTCAGACGAAGAGAACTGATTCCTTACACATTACTTCTTTGACTCCATATGGCAAAAGATAGAGGGAAAAAAATGCATCTCATGGCTGTTGGATCCTTAGGAATGTCAAAGGGGATGTTACGACTCCTTTACTACTTCAGCACTTATCCATCAGAAATAATTTTAGATTATACAGGATCTCATGATAATACTGGACTTTTGCCTCTCTACCACAGGAGATGTTGACTGTCACGCACCTGCACAAATTCCCATGGCATACTCATACCTGCAGGAAATATAAGTTTGTCTTTAGGTTGTGAGCTACTTAACCCATCATCTTTTTAGCTTTTTGTTGAGTTCTTGTGGCTTCCAAAGTTCCTAGTTTCAGTGGTAGAACACAAGATATACAAGATGACACCACTTTATCCTTCACTCTGCCCACACCCATTGGAAGAGACGCATTTCTTCTGTACTTTTGGCTGTCAAACACTGGTATAGTAGGGCTGCTGTACTTCAAGCAAACAAAAATAATTCAGTCTCCAAGTAATCAGGTCTTTGTGCAGCATACTGAGAGCTTTTGTCTCAGTCAATTTTCAATTCAGAGTTCTGTAAAAAATCCAACTTCTGCATACTGCAAAAATCCCATTGAACAACATCTGGCTGCTATCAGAATTGCTGTATCGAGTGTTAGATTTATTTCTTGGGAGTGTTAAATATTGTCATGGAATAAATAGTGTGAGTTACTTTATTATTTTGGATCATTCATGACAGATCAGTTATTCCCAATGTACTTCAATTACCTGGGACTGGGAATATAATTAAATGAAGCTTTTTGCCTTGAATAACATCAGATACTCTCAGATCTTTTGTTTTCACACTTATTCCATTATAGGAATTTGATTTCATGTTGATTATTTTTGTAGGACCACAGTTTAATTCTGTGGTGACTTTTTTGCTGCTACACTTTACCATTAACCACATCTTTCAATCTGCAAGTACATCTGCCAAGGCATCAGAACTGATTCTTTCTATAAGATATTCTTGAAAGGAATTGTCTTTACAAATCCATTTCAGTCTTCTTTCCATAGTGCTTTCTGAGATTAGCTTAACCCAGGAATTAATTGGCCTATTTCCTTCGCTAAATTTCATGTATTTAGGATCTCAGCATCTTGGCTGCCAACCATATGTGACATAAGATACAAGGGAAAAGGAAGGAAGAGCTTCTCTGTGTTTGTTCTTGGTCCCAAAATTTTTAAGGCAATTCCAAGGCTGCTGGAGCTACAAATTCCTAGCAGTGTCTGTGCAGAGATAATGTACCGCACTAATCAGTTTAATAGATAAATACAATGAGAAATGTGCTCCATCACTAGAATGCATTTCATTCACTGCATCCACAGTCTTGCCAAGTAATGGCTCCATCCCTGTGCTTTCAAAGGGAATAACTGGAATTATATTTATGGCCAAGTAATACACTGGCACACGGGCATCCTTAAAGAATATATTTACCAAGGTCTCCTGAATTTGCAGCTTACAAAAAAAAAAAAAACATATCCAGGTAACTGGCTGGATATGAGACTTCTGTTTTTGAAGGCAAAATATTCATGAACTGGCTGGATATGAGACTTCTGTTTTTGAAGGCAAAATATTAATTAAACAATATATTAAGTAAAATATTAAGTAAACACCCTTAAATAGTAAAGTTATGTATCACTGACTGGAGTTTTCTGAGGTGTGTTGGTTACATATTTTCTTTCTACTCCTTGTCTTTATCTCATCCTTTCTCCTTCAGTGTCCTTTGGAAAACTTTTGTCTCCAGGAGTTTGAGCAAACACTGGGACTCCTCCACTCATTAAATCTTGTAGGACTGAAATCTCAGTTTCAGGTCATGTATGCTATTGCAAATATAGGTATTCTTTTACTGGGCCTGGGCCTTTATTTATTCTGGGCATGTGAAGAAAAACTGTAGTGTATAGAGAACTTCCAGGAATGTACCTCCAAGGATATCTTGTGGATTTTGAGTTTGTTTTTCCTAAGGCATAATTTAGAATTGCATGTGATATCTGCCCAAAGACTTTATTGAGCTTAATTTGTCTCTTGACAATCAATTTGAAATTAGCTCCTACCCTCTGAGAATATTTAAATATATGCTACAATATATGCTTATGTTTTCTGATATGATGATAAATGTTTAAACAGGTATTAAATAAGTGTAACAGAAAACACAGAATGGTTAAAACTAATATAAAAAAGAAGAATGAAAAATATTAACAATTAACTAAACATAGAAGAGTATAGTAACACTATTCCCATTATAGAGTGGAAATAGGGGGAACTTAAAAAAATAGATATGATAACAGGAATAAGTGGAACAATTTTGAACAAGAAACAACAGTGGGAATCTGAAGAATGAGAGAAGAACAGAAATTCCTACACTTAGTTCTAACAGCTGTGTATTTATCAGCATTTGCAGGACCAGTGAAGTCTAGTCTGGTAAAGTTTTGAATTTATTTGTGTCTTTGCAAGATGTCTTTCCTGGGAAAAGAAATACATAGAAATGTTTAAATGTTTCAGCCCTCTGGAGAATACAGTGTGCTCCTTTAAAAACAAGAGAAATTATCTTGTATTTGGCATATTCCAGAAAGAACCTAACAAATCAACTTTCCTGTTCAATACTTGTGCTGTATATTTGTAAAATTGTAGTGTACTGTAAAAGTTTTGAGCTGACTTCAAACTTATTCTATTGATTAAGTATTATTCCAAAATTATTTTCCTAGTTGGTAGCCACAGCTCTTCATAAGCCAGATGTTACATTCATTTTATAAGTTATTTGAGCATAAAACTTGCAGTCAGGAACAGTTTTGGACATGTGTTTTGTTAGGATTGTGCATACCTTAATTTTAGGTAATATATACACAAACGGCAGCAAACACATATAAAGAAACATGGACACATTTACTGCATATATAAGGTTAATGATATAATTTATGTTATAGTCAACAGTGTTAACTTTGAGATTAAAATTGTCTCATGAGGGACATACACCAAAAATCAGTTTTTGAATCCCAGCTAACACTTTTAATTCAGCTCAGATGTTTTCTACTACTATCCACACTTCAGATTTTTTTTCTAGTAATTTTGTTGGCTGAGTGTCCTCATGGCAGTTATTCTTCTCACTTTTGAGAGAGAAAAATAAAAAAACATTTTCATATATTCAAAAGTCTCAAGACAAATTTACTCAGTTCCATTATTGTCTTAACCACACTGCAAACATCTGATCACTCTGACTTTTGTAAGTAGTTTCTGAAGAAATGCACATTAAGCAAGGTTAGAAAGACGACAAAAATGCCAATAAATTATAAAAACATAATTTAGAGGAAAAAAACTATTTTCTAGGTATAAATAGGTGTAGATAAACAAATTACAATATTTAAGGAGGTTATTAGTTTAGACTTTGTGATTGAAATATTTTTACGTGAAGTAAAAATGTGAAGTACAGTCTTTCCAAATGTCTTCTTTTCTGCCACTAGAGGGTACTCCAAGAACTTACAGTGTATTTGGAGGAAGGATTTGTTTGGGGGTTTTTGTTCTTTAAATTATCCAGTACTGTTGTCCTACTAAATCTTAGGAATTAAACCCCCCAAAATCTTGATATTAAATAAAAACTTTCAAAACCACTCTAATGCAACTTTTCAGCAAAATAGTGCAGTGTATCCAAATTATAAAGAACATTGATTGACATGTAGTTTAGATTTAAACTTATCCTACTTTTAAATTATCGTAATTATTATCTTTTCTTTATTTCAGACACAATTTTCTGGTTCACATGCTGTTTCTTCA